TTTTTTTTTTTTTTTTTTTTTTTTTGAAGGGTTGAAAGGGGGGCCAGAGGGGGGTGTGTTCGGTGTTTGTTGGCGAGTGCTTCCAAACGTTGCTGTTCAATGGTGGGGGGCGGAAGCAGTGGCGTTGCAGCAGGTGGTGGCAGTGGCGCATCCGGAAGGAGGAGACCTCCTTCAGGATCGACGGACAAAGGAAAGGTCAGTGCCAGTGTCAGTGCTTCCGCATCTGGGGTGACTGCAAAGGATCCCACGCCGGCGTCAGACCCCTCACTGTTTGTTCCTCAGGAAGAGACGAGGCAACAACAACTGCAGCGCACCCGGGACGTGTGGAAATACGTTATACAGGGTCAAGAAGCCCTGCCGAAGGGTCGAGGAGAGTTTTGGCTGAAGTGTCGGCTATGCACGCAGATTTGGAGGGGCACGAGCACAAGGGCAGTGGAACACTTTTTGAAGTTGTTGAAGCCGTGTCCCTTGAGGACAGGTGAGATGGTGCACAAGCTCGTGGTCGCCGGTGCGAAGGTGCTGCCCAGCGACAAAAAGACGCAGTACCTCCTGAAGAACTATAGGCAGTTGCATGGCATTACGGAAGGGGGGGCGACTGCGACGGAGACTCAGGACGTGGAGCCGCTCATTTCCGGGTACGAGGAGCCGCAACCACCAACCACTGCGGGGATGGCACCACCAAAAACAGCTTCCCGAACAGAGCCGGTCGCCGCCGCAGACGGGGGGCATGCGGAAGGTTCAGCGTCAAACACGACGGTTGCATCGTTGAAGCAGACATTAATCAAGAGATGGGCGGACAATGATGCACAGAAGAAGCTGGATATTGCGTGGGCGGAGGTGATGTTCCGTGCTGGCATTGCGTTTAACTTCCTGAACTTTGACACGACGCAGAAGCTCCCAGACGAGAACAATGGATCTGTCTTGAGGGGCCCCGAGGAAGAAACTGAGAAGACGGATGAGGAGCTGGTGCGGCAAAGTAGCTTCGTGAAGACACCGAAGGGAAGGATTCCAAAGAGTGCACCGACGACAGTGATTTGGATGATGAGTTGTAGAAGGGGAGGGGTGGATTGTCGGATGAGACGAGCGGCGCGGAGGAGGAGGAGGATGAAAGTGATTCCGATTTTGAGTTGGGAGCCCAGCCATCGGTCCCGGGCACGACTTATGTTGGTAGGAGAGAACCTGCACGGCGTCGGAGGGAGAACCAGCCCGCGGTCTCCACGCAGGCCCGGGGGGAAAGCTCCTCCCGATACCATCCTCAGTCCGATGTTGAGTTCCATCACATGGACACGGACATCGAGTTGCTGCTGCAAAGTGGTCCGGTTGATGAAGATGAGGCGGAGGCCGTGCAAAGGCATTAGCAGATCGAGATAGAGATGCCGTCCAAAAACGGATCATGGAAGAGGATGCCCGACGTGCAGCAATCCCAACCCGGAGGGAGATTGAGAGACGCAAGAAGAAGGTTGGGAAGAAGGAACCGGAGACACGTCGACCATTGGACGCTGTGCAAGAGCGAGAAGAGGAAGAGCAACAGCAAAGTGGACCGGTTTTGAAGGTGGCGGACCAGCAAGAGGCAGACCACCGCAAAGAGGCGGACCAGCAAGAGGCAAACCACCGCAAAGAGGCGGACCAGCAAGAGGCGGACCAGCAAGAGGCGACCCAGCAAGAGGCGGACCAGCAAGAGGCGGACCAGCAAGAGGCGGAGCACCGCAAAGAGGTGGAGGAGAAGGACCAGCAAGAAGACAAGGGCGACATGGACCACGCACGAGAGCCGGAGATGGAGCACGGAGAAGAGGACGAGGGGATGGAGCATGAAGAGGACGAGGAGGGGATGGAGAGTCAAGGAGTGGAGGAGGCCATGGAACAGCAAGATGACGCGGAGGGCATGGATCGACAGGACCTGCAGCACAACGTGGATGACGAGGACGCCGAAGAGGAGCACCAGCCTGCAGTGAAGACTGTGTACACGCGTAGGCCACGACCGGTTTTGTCCGCACAGTCTGTCGAGAACTCACCCGACTTCCCTCACAGCAATGAGGCTGTCCAACATGACAACCTGTGGGTGAGCAGGGTGGGGAGGAAGAGGAAGGAACCGGTGGAGGATGCTGCTGCGAAGCCTAAGCGTGCTCGTGGCAGGCCCCGCAAGCCGAAGACCGCTGAACCCGGTGCAAAAAAAAAAAAAAAAAATCGCCAGCGCAAGGCTCGCGCGGAGGTTGTGGAGGATGACCCCGATTCAGATAACTGCAATGAACGGTCATTGGAATCTGAGAGAAGCCACTCCGATGGCGAATGAGGTCGCCGTGAGTGTGTGTGCGAGTGTGTGTGTGTGTGTGTGTGTGTGTGTGTGTGTGTGTGTGTGTGTGTGTGTGTGTGCACACATGTGTGTATGTGTGTGTGTGTGTGTGTGTGTGTGTGTGTGTGTGTGTGTGTG